TATAAAATGGGCTCCACTAAGTCAGTTTGTGCATTAGTGTTGTTAGATCTTGGGCCCAATGCCAGCGGCCTCAGATATTGTCCCAATCATACCATTGTCACCTATATTTATGGGAGACTAGTTTGGTCTTATGCAGGTTTCCCCATTTGTCAGACCCGAATCAGTGATCTCTCACTAGCTCGGGTCAGCTGATTCTTTGGGTTTCCCCGTCATGGTCTGGACACTTTTGTTCCAATTTTCGATCCTCCCTCCCTTTGACTGTACTCCAGGAGCTTGGCCCATTGGTTAGTGGTGCATTTCTGCATCTGCTTCCTTTTCTTCCTGGAGGAGGATTCTAGCTTCTCTGGGGCTATGGATTGTAAGCTGGGTAACTTTTATGTCTGGTAACCACTTATGAGTGAGTACATACTATATTTGTCTTTCTGGGTTTGTTACCTCACTTAGGACAGTACTTTTAACAATAGTTTCCTATTGTGACTAAGCAATCTCAGGGTGTGTTTATTAGAAACTTTATTCTTAACTGGAATCTCAAAACCTCTAAGGCTGGCATGGTGCTGTGGGCTTCAAATTCCAGGACACAGGAGGTAAAGCGGGAAGACTGAGTTTGAGGGTGATCAGCAATATGTAACAAGACCTTAAAAAGACAAAACAAAACTCTTCTTTGTGTACCAGGCTAATTATCATTCATCAGGAGATGTACTATATTCGTTCTATAGTCTCATCCACCCCATCTTGATAAGAATATCTCAGTATAGTCATGTTCAAGTAGAAACATAAGCTCTGTCTAGATTCTACCACTAGATTCTCCCATCAGTCATGGTGTCCTATTAATTTTACAATCCGCCCTTTCCTTTCCATCTCACCGATATAGCTTTGGGCCAGTCACTTGTAATCTTTTGTACTGGAAGACTTTATGATCAATGGTCTCCCCAGGAAACTGTAAAGACTCCTGTTTTTATCAGTTCTGAACTGTGCCTACCTTCTCCCACAACACTTCTACCACAGAGTTTTGTGTTTGTGAAATGAAAAATATCCATGAAGTACGATTGCATGACATTCTATTAATCTCCCTCAAACCTATCGGAGATGTAATTAATCCCAACAGTTTATTTTGATGGTAGGAAAAAAAACCCAGAGACTGCACTTTAGAAATAAAAGCCACTGTTGTCTTTATAAAACACAGAATTGTGCTGCTGCTGTTGCTTGCTTGAGAAGGAACTGTACATTACAGCTGCTGGGATAATTTCACAATGGACGGGACAAGGTACAGCTCAAAGCAGGACACAAACACAAGTCTCAATGGGAAACAAATGCAAACAAGTACACAGCTGCGGGGCTCGAGGGATATTTCCCCATCCATGCTGGACTTGAGAGGAATAAAAAGTTTAGAAAATAAAGTGGAACCCAGAGTAGTCACACATGCCCACCACATGGCTGCTAAGTGCAACTTCATACACCAATCAGGTTGGACTATGTGCACAGGAAGTCATTTCATTTTTCCTTATTGCTATGACACTAGAGGACTCAGTGCATTGAGACACATTGTCTTTACTTACACGATTCTTGGAGACTTTCTGATTTCCCTTTTAAAGGAAGGAAATCTACCTTCCTTACATTATTTTGTTTTGAGCCCATTCTTTCCATTCCCTTTCCTGGGCTATCGTACAGCAGCCAGAGGTTCTAAGTCAGTAGGAGCAGAGTAAGGGGAGAGCACCAACCCAGCCTCTCTCCTGGCTCAGGGAGAAGGCAAGTCCTAGTAAGTGGGGAGAAAAGAGAAAACCAGAGAGTCCCCCTTTCCCAGTCTGCTTAGAAGGCCAAGTAGCAAAGACTGCCTTGCATATCCCTGCCATGATCCCTGCCCAAGGAAGGCATCCTAACTACCATCCTGGGTTATCCAAAGCCCAGTAAATTAAAAAACAGAACAAAATCTTTCCTGTCATAAATTTCCAAAACTGCCTTTTGACTAGGTGAAAGGTAACTCTTCTACCCTGAAAGGGGAGAAACTTCATCCTTCTTTGTGATGCCTGATGCCAGGTCTACAACTCTGAGCAGCCTTGTAGACATTCCATGGGCTAGCAAAGAAAACTGTGTCCCTGGCATCATTCACATAATTCTGGCTGAAAAAGAACTGTTCAAAAACATTGCTGCTCAGCCGAAGAGGAGGCCATTGAGAAACCCTGCTGCAGTTGAAAACTAGATTTTTTAGGGTAGTTTCAGTCTTTTAGGCTAGTTATGTTTAACTTTTGTCATATCAAAGCATTAAGTTCCCAGTAACAGTATCTCCAGGCCTATCCTAAGTGGCTGGCAATAGCACCTCAACCAAGGGTCACACTGGACTGAATAAAAGCAGTGCTCTCCTTTACCACCTCTCATCCAAACTCTCTCTGTTCTCTTTTTACTCTTCTTCTATATCCATCCTCTAGCTGACTATTCTTTAATACCCAAGTACTTCAACTGTAGGACATTCTCAGCAAAGAGAGGCCGTAGGTATCGAGAAAAAGAAGCAGAGCTAGAAACAAGAGCACTCAGTTCCACAGAATGGAGAGGTATTAAAACTGCCAGAAACCATACTGATTTTGTCAGTTAGACAGGCCTGCTGATCTGACCTCGTGTAAGCTTGAGGACAGTGCAACCCAGGGTTAACACCATTGGGCATGAGAAACGGGTTTTTGGTCTTCTGTAGTCAATGAGCTAAGCCTAACCTTGCCAACTAACAGTGGGATCATTGCAGCCATGCAGAGAATTCATTATCACACAGGCAGACAGGCAGGAGGGCCAGCCAGCAAGCAAGCTGAGTGAAGAGGGAAAAGGAAAAGAAAGCCAGGGAAATCGAGAAGAGGAAAGGGAAAGCCAAACAGTGGGGCCGAGGGGAAAGGAGAAAAAGATCTAAGATGAAGCTGGACTCTTTCCAGTGCTTCCTTGGAGCTTGGCACACTGCGCCACTTAAACCAAATCCAAATAAGCTGATTTTTGCTGCAACACCGATTTTAATGGTGTGTACTGACTTCAATGAGAACTCACATGGTCAGTAGTAGTTACATTTCAAGGAATTTTTTTCTTTTTAAGTCACAGCAAGAAGTTGGATCACGCATGTTACTTTTCTTGCTCTTCCTTTTTATTTTTTTCTGAGGCATGGTCTTGCTATGTAGTGCACCATGGCATGGAATTCACTCAGCAGCCCAGGCTGACCCTGAATTTGTGAATCTCCTGCTTCAGCCTTAGTACTGGGATGGGCCGCCATGCCCAACATTCCCTTGCTTTTATTTCTTGAATGGCACATAAACACCAAAAGACTAAAACTGATCTCCAATCCCTAGCTTGAAACCCAACTGGAGAGAGTGAGGCAAAGAAAAAAAGGAAAAAGCAGAAACCTGTTGCTGTAGTTGTGACAGCCACCTGTTCCCTATGGGCATCTGCAAATGCTGGTGAATGACTGGACCCTCCAGGAATAGTGCCCTTATCCAAACCTTCAAACGTACCCAAGTGGACAGCACACGTCTGTGGAGAGCTCCCTCCCCAAAGGGTGACGGAACAAGAAGTAGACTGTATATGAAGGCGATGGATAGGGCAGATGGAGTGTTGGCATCACTCTCTTTAGGCACTTGTGTAAGGAATGTAGGCTCTCCTGTGAGCTGCCTCTTCCCAGAGTCCTCTGTTCTGTTCTTCAGCTGGGGTTGTGCCCATGGGGCATCCACACTGTAGCCAGCAGAAAAAAGTACAGGAGGAACTACTAAACAGTCCTGGGCTTTTCCATAAGGAATGTTTGTGCTACCTTTTGGGAAGTTACTAAACAATGTAGTCAGCCACAACTGAACCTGGACTGTTTGCATAGCAAATCCAGGTCTGTACACGGGCTACTAGGGAGAGGTTTTGACTCCACAGGCCAGGATTCAGACCTTCCTTTCTCCAGCTGGCCTCTAAGCCTGGGCTAGATCTAAAATATCATGGCTTCAAAACCAGAGTAGGGCAAACCCTAAGCTCAGGTTCCCTTAAAGGGGACTCTGTACACCAAGGTTCAAATCCCCCACCCCAAGCAGTAGTGCAGGAAAAATGAACAGACAAGGAAAGAGGGTGCCTTGCTTCAAGGTCAGCAAGGACAAAACTAGAACCCTACTTCTTCCAGTCCTGCAAGACTGCTGAACCCCAGTATCTCGAGAGAGGGGGAGAAAAGAAAAGTCCATGCCACCCACTCACATGCCCTAGTGGGAAACAGGGAAATTCATTTGTGTAAACAGAAGCAATAGGGAGCAGCAAAATTCTCTAGCCTGTCCAGGGGACATGCTAGAATCTCCGTTAGTCAAGGATCAAAGGACAGTCCGGTCCGGAAAAAGGGAAGGTTCACTTACAAGAAAGAGTGCAGGATAGACAGGGTGGAGGACGGCTGTAGCAAGAAAAAGGTACTATCTGCAGAGAGAGAGGGCAGAGGCTAAGCCCCACCTTAGGGAGACAACCACCCCCTACTTAGCCAGGCCAGAATACACAGCAGGGCCACAGTTCCTTCTATGGCTCCCTGGTTCTGGGATGCAAACTCATCCAGTATGAGAGGGATTTCCAGATTTTGGCAATAGACTCAAGTTATGGTATAAAAATAACATTTAGTTTTCTGTTTTCTTATTTTAGTCCTAAAGATCTTCTGTTATTAGACACCCCAGTTAAAAAATATTGAAACAAAAGAGACTTCACCATCAGGGGAAAAAGAAGCCAAGAATGAGAAATGCTACCACAGTAACTCTAGACCTGGCAGGGTAGGGGGTGTGGGGCCAGGGAAAGGAGGAGGAGGCTAAAGGGGAAAGGCCAAGGGGCCAGTCATCTCAGCAGCTCGGAGACTTGTCACGTCTGAAAGTGCAAATGTCAATGGATTTTAACCATCTTGAGGTTGTGATCTTTTTTTAAAAGCTCAATGAATATGGAAGTCAATTCCTTCGAATGAAATAGCTGGCATTCTGGCTGGCGTTGGGCTATTTCTCCCCCTCCCTCCCTCCCTCTTCTCCCACCCACACCCCATCCCACAAAGAAAGGTACAAAGGTCGCGGCTCTGCAGCATAACCGTTACAGGGAAGGCACTGTACCCACCAGCAGGCGGAAGGAAGACAGGGTCGTGTCACTTCAGAGCTAAGTGCCATAGTGCCTTAAGTGTTACTAGGGACTGGATGTCTGTCAGGGAAGAGGCATGTGGGGTAGAAAAGACAGAGAGGAATAATTGGGGTGGGGGGGGGTAGCAGCTGGGGAGGAGCAACCCAAACCATTAGCATTAAAAATCTTCCTACAAACTGGATTCTGAACCCATGAAAACATCTAGTATCCTAAAATATTGATCTGAGTCTGTTTTCATTTTTCTTAAACAAATCTAGACCTTTTCTGATTAAGGCTCCTAAAAATTCCTTCCCCCCCCTCCCACCCACTTTCTCAAGCCCCCTCACTTTCTCAAAATTGTCAAACCCAAACATACCAGCGTTTGACCACAGGACTGCAGAGCCGACCCTAGCAAGCTGTCTAGCATGAGTCCTTAGCACTGTGAGTCACAAGAGACAACTGTGTGTTTGGTGGGCACTAGTGCTGCCTCTTCTGGGGTCGGATGTGACAAGATGGGGAGAGGGTATGAGGTTTCCATCAGAGATTTCTGGCTGGTAGTCTGTCTTGCTGGTCCTCTTCCCCCTTCTATCCCCTCTATAGATAGAAACAAGGCCTCCTATACTCCTCCCGACCCCAGCTCCCTCTTCCTTGCGTCCTCTGGATTTGGGTGGTACAGCTCCCAGGGCTTGGAAAGCTTTCTTCTACCCAGTGAGGTAACAGCGTTCTGCCTTCAAGCGAAGTACATGGTGCGTAGAGTATCCTGGTGAACCTGCACTGCTTTGGCCAGGGCTTGGGGGTCTCGCCCATTGCTCTGCCCCGATATGTGGCTCCCCTCTCCGCTGAAAAAGAAAAGTATGAAAATTCCTTCATGGTAAACTGAATTGCTGCTATTCCCTCACCCATCTCTACAGCGCCAATTCACATACCAACCCAGGTTTTGGTAGGATAACATCCACTTCCTTTTACCAACAAAAGTTGAAAGAGTCGGTATGAGTGGCTGAAGCAAAAAGAAAACAGCCAGCCTTTACCTGTCATGCTCCTTGTCCACCAGGTGGTATCGTGCCCGGAAAGCCACCAGCCGGGCATAGTAGGCAGGTGCTGGGATAGAGACAGAACGTGTGCATCGTACGTAAGTGTGGCACAGCTGGTATGTCAAGATCTGGAGTTCATCTGCTGTGAAACGGTTGTCATCCCAAAGAACATAATAATGGGATGGTCGGCTGGTACCCTAGGGAAAAAAGATGGTAAGTGGGCCCTGATTGGGCAGAGGGCATGGCTGCTGACAAAAGAGCAATACTAATTAACAATACGGCTAGGCTGGATGACCATACCCCACCGGTCCCCATAAGACACAGACATAACCTGCAAGTGTACTTGGGGCTTACTGGCAATAAACAGTTCTGCTTTTAATATACTCAGCAATAAGAGACATATTCTAGATGTGGTAGGAACAACCAACTAAGCCTTGACCCAATAAAAACCCCAGGACATGGCCCAGCTACCTGGATGCCTGCATGGCTGCACAGATAGAAGTCAAACTCAAATGGGTGAGTGATGTTCGTGTCCACTGTGGTCCCAGCAGGGATGTTACCACTCTTCCCAATCTGTAGAGACAAACATAACCAAGATCCCAAGACCTGCCTGGCCCTGACTAGGGCCTCAGCTGGATTCTACTCGTACTCTCCCAGAATGCCAAGCACAAACAAGTTTCTATTCTCACAGGGAACTAGATTCTGAAATAACGGGCTTCTAAAATCAAGGGTTTGCTATTTACTAGCTGTGTGATCTTAGCAAGTCATTTAACCTTTCTGAGGTTAAACGGGGATATTAATAGTACCTACCTCACAGAGTTGCTGTGAGGGAGACTCCTTGAACAGTGTCTGGCACATAGGAGAAGTTCAATAAATGGTAGTTCCCTTTCCCTTCTCTGGGAGCTGGTCTATATATAGGGTCTAGGCCAGGGAGCTAGGAGGAGGAGAGGAAGTATAAGGGAGGGAGGGGAGGAGGAGGCACTAAGGGAAGGAGAGTGGAAGAGGATGGGTCACAAAGCCATGGGGAAAACAGAGCCAGGGAGGACACACAGGAAAACCAACTAAATCCCCAGACATTGTCTCAAGACTTCTCTCTCAAGGTAAAGGGACAGGATGCGGGCACTAGCGGCCTCAACACTTGTTCACTCACTCGCTCATTCTTGTCAGCACAGAAGAGGCGGGTATGATGGCGTTTCTGCACCACAATGTAAGTGATCCCAGGCTGGTAGTCTTTTTCCAGTTTGATGCAGGCATCTCGAATGGCAAGCAGCTCATAGTGAAGGATCTAGGCACAAGGTAAGGAGGGAGAAAAAGACACATGGCCCTTTTTTGACTCAAAGGCATCACTGAAGTAAAAAATAAAAGCATTATATACAACTTGTATATGGCTTTTTGCACATAAGCTTCATAAGCTGAAGCTCAACAATTAGAAATGAGAGGTTCTGATACTCATATTCATTTCATGTGTTCCCAGAAAATCAGAAGACAGTACCTACTCGGTCTCCGCGCAAAAAGAGATCTTATAGAACTACATTAAGGCACGAAACTAGAAAATTGTGGTGGTGACACCTTTAATCCCAGGAGGCAGAGGCAGGCAGATCTCTGTGAATTTGAGGCCAGCCTGGTCTGGCCTCAGGATAGCCACGGCTATTACACAGAGAAACCATGTCTCAAAAAACCAAAACCAAAACCAAGCAAACAAATAAATGAATAATCCAAACTTAAGATCAAGATTTCTAAGAGCAGACAGGGTTGAAATACCAGAGAGGAGTAGATGTACAATAGGGAATAGATACAGAAAGTCAAAACAGGTAGGGACTAGAATGTGACTTAAGGAAAATCATGTGCCTTGTATGCACACAGCCTTGGGGTCAGTCTCAAGGACATAACAGAAAAAAATTATGAACTGGGCATAATGGTGCATGCCTAGAACTCCAGCACTGAGGAGGCAGGAGAATGAGAATCACAAGTGTGTGGCCATCCTGGGCTACAAGGAAAAAGAATTATTGGTATGGCAAAAAATGAACTTTGAAATTAGCTAAAACTAGACTTCAACATTTTTTAACACCCCCAGTCTCATTTTTACCAAATCTATTGATTTTACTAATAAGAATTTTTTCTGATGGCCACTATGATAACTGACAATTAAGTAAAAAAAGGAAGGGATACAAGTCTTAGTGGAGCTTAAGAGCTGCTCATTGCTTAGTGAAAATGGGTGAATTTTATTTAATACAAGCTATGTAAAACTAGGTTCCAGGTAATGTTCAGTAGTCCTCTGGCCTCAACAAGAAAATGCAGCAGCCACTAGGAACCATACCTGGGGTAGCTGGCCCTCAGGGACCCCATCCCGGTAGAAGATGATTCGGGTAGGCTTGAAGCGGGTGGACTTGTAGAACTGGATGAGCAGCTCACGCACCATGTAAGACAAATCTTCAATGATCTCCTGCCGAGGGCGCTGCACACGCACAGTAGCGCAGTATCGGCTGGGGTGTGCGTCCATACTGCCTACCACCTGACAACAAAGAAAGCACCAGCCTCTGGAATTAACACCTCCCATCGCTGTGAAACAGTGGAGCTGTGGAAGGACTTCTGAGTAAGAATGCTGTATTGACTGGATATATTCACTTGATATGTTCCTAGACCAGGAGACTGGGCATCAGAGGACAGTCTCTATCTGGTCTCCATGCAAAAAGATTGAGTAGGGGATTAGGACCTAATAAACACTGGTTTTAACCTGTTCTCTCACAAAAAAGCAGAATTTACTTAATATGTGACAAGTTTGCTTTCAGTGCCCCTACAGTATACAGAACATACCCGTACAAGGTCTATGCCCAAGAGAATGGCGTGAGCCCTAAGTTTGACGTTCATGCACTGCATTTGATATTGTTTTCCTTACTTAGCTGTCCCTGTCAAATTAAGAGCCCTAGGGTCAAGACTCTCTAGTTCAGAGGTGAAATGTTTTCGTAGCAGACCAAGGTTCTGGGTCTGATATCTACCATAAAAGGGGAAGGGAAAAAAATTAAGTGCTCCAGATACCACAGGAAGTAGAGAGGCAGCTAATCTATAGATCAACGATTAAAATGAAGTAAAAGTAAAAGGAAGGCCAATTCCACAATCAAGTAATCCCTTAAAAGAGATTTCAGAGACCAGATACATAGTCCCTTCCTTAGCCTCCCCAAAACTAGAGTAAAAAACATACATGTATAGAAAGAGTGATTGGGAGACAAAGTTTCTGGCCACAGGCTATACTTGCACTACTCCAACTCACCCCACCCCCACCTCCAAAAGGTGCCATTCAGAGTTAGGTTAACAGGTAACAGGGATGGTGCACTGAGAGCAAGGCTTGGGGATGGAACTCTCTTAAGGACCAGTTAAGAAGAATCACTGACCGCTGTGATAGACGGCTTCTTCCCATCCCCGGCTGGGGGATGTGTAACATCTGCGCCCAGGAAAATCACTGGCTGTTGAAAAACAGCAGAGCTGAGCAAGGAGAAAAAACAAAATGGTGAGGAATTGAGTCTTCTCTGGTTGGCACCATCCGGTCCCCATTCTAGTCTTCTCCCTCTGTTTCAGTCACTCTGTCTGGAGAGGGTTCTTATCTATTCTTCAATCCCCAACAGGCTACCTTGACAAAAGCAAGTGAGTAAGAGTTCATACCGCTGGTGTGGGACTAGGATGTTGTTAATGCCACCAAGTTTGACATTGATCTTGAGGCAGAGGTTGGACAGAGTTTGAGGTGAGGTCTTGACCACATTCTTCACCTGCACACACTGTGTTGCCATTCCCAAGAGTGTATCTCCAACACGTTTCACTTCAGCTATGGGCAGAGACAAAACTGATTAGCACATTTGGCAAATTTACTCAACATCTAGTATATCACACAGTAAATGAAGTTCTAGGGAACACAATGACCAGAAATATAGGGTTCCTGGTACTTATTCTCATAGTGCTTAATATTTAACACTAACCTGAAGGACCACAAAGAACGTAGCAGTGTTAAACTGAGCAGTAAGAAATGTATAAGAGGTTAATAACCTAATCAGGAGCAAAGATTGACAACAGAAATCTAGAAATCAGGGTTTTCAAAGCCCAAGCAGAGGAGAAACATTCAAAAATGTACCCTGAGCCAGATATGAAGGTTGACGCCTATAACCCAGCAATTAGAGACTGAAGCAGGAAGAGCATGGCATTAATGGTAGCCTGAGTCATACTGTAAGTCTCTAAACAAAACAAAATAGAGACCAAGCAACAGTCTACTGAAAACAGTATTTTTTGAGTAATTCATAGCACTTTATATAACAAAAGACAGTGACCATGATGCTGAGCTGTGAGATCGATTACTCAGACAGGTAGTTGAGGGCTGGGGTCATAGGAAGTGGTACAGTGTGTGTTTTAATAAGGACGAATGCATCTGAGTTATATAAGAACTTGCTTATAGACTCTATGCATAAGGAAATGAAATTTTATAGATTATTTTATCAATAATTTTTCAGTTTAGCTGGGTAGTGGTGCCACATGCCTTTAATCCTAGCACTTGAAGGCAGAGGCAGGCAGATCCCTGTGTGGTCAGGACCAGCCTGGTCTATTGAGTGAGTTGCAAGACAGGCTTCCAAAGCTACAAAGAAACCCTGTCTCAGAAACAAAAGAAACGTTGGTCTAGTAGAGAGCAGTGGGTTTCATTATGGTATTTTCACACATATACCTTGTTTATGCATTACTTTTAAGTCTTTAGTTTTCCTAACAGAAATAGATCATACATTCCATGAGTTTGAAGTGTAGTAAGGATATGTACACAACTAGGCAAACAAGCATAATAGTTGAAAGCTTTTTTTTTTCCCAACTGTGAATTTGTGCAATATTAAAGTACAAGTAGTAATTGAAGGCACGCTCTTGACAGGTCACTAACAAAGACAGAGTTGAAGAGAAGATTGTTTTAGAAGTTCTCAGGGGTGGGGAGCCAAAAATGAAAAAAAGAAAACCTTGAAGGAAATCTAGCATTGCAGAACAAGCCAAAGAAGATGAGTCTGCAAAGGAGGAAAGTTCCCCATAGCCAGGAGGAAGACCAAGGCAGTGCAGTATCATGGCTACCAAAGGAAACGAAGAAACAAGAAATTAACAAAGTCAAATGCAGCTGAGAGATTAGGTAAAATAAGAACCATTGATGTTCTTTGTATTTAGCCATACTGAGACAACAAAAACGTCAGTGTGAAGAAACAAGAACTGTTTTAGTGATATTCAATAAGAATATAACATGAAGGAAGAGTTTGGAATGTTTTTCTTTTCTTTCTTTTGTTTTGTTTTTTGAGACAGGGTTTCTCTTCATAGCCTTGGAGGCTGTCCTGGCACTCACTCTGTAGACCGGGCTGACCTCAAACTCATAGGATTCACCTGCCTCTGCCTCCTGAGTGCTGGGATTAAAGGCGTGTGCCACCATTGCCCAACTTAGTTTGGTATGTTTTCAATGGGAGCATTTTTAAAAGCTAAAGAAATCCTTTTTACTACTCTAAAAAAGTGAGACGTTAGCTATAAATCTTTAGAAATCAACATTCAGAAGCCAGACAAAATACCTTTTTGATGACAGAGAAATGCTAACCACAACTCATGAGTCTGGAACTTCAGGGAGGGAGGAAATCTCACAGCCATGAACAACCTTCACTCTGTGGATAATGCTCCCTGTGTCCACTTGCAGACTCCAGGAGTGAGCAGAAGGCTGAGACTCCAGCCTCTGACACAGTGGTGGGCAATGCCAGGGGACAGCAAATCTGCAGACCGTTGCTCTCTTTACAGATAGATTATTTCCAAATATGCAATGTGGGAAAAAAAAATTAAAAAAAAAAAAAAAAAAAAAAAAAAAACAAGACTCAGAAAGCCAAGGCAGGGGAATTGCAAGTTGGAGGTTTCAACAACAACAAGAGAAAAAAAAAAAAAAAAAAAAAAAAAAAAAGAACAAGCCACAGTGCAAAGATAATGTGTGTGATACAAGTGTATATTCACTACAAAAATTATGAAGAATACATTACATACAAACCAATAAGTAAAAGGCAGATAAGTAAATAAATAAAAAAAAGTCAGGAATAAGCACTTTACAAAACAGGCTAGCCAAGATTAAAGATAGAACATCTAGAACTAGTAACCCCTGATGGAGGAAGTAAAGCCTGATGCGCTTAAAAACCTAGTCTTAGTCCTTGTCTATACAGATAGGCACAAGTGCTCAAAGGACGCACATTGTTTATTAGAGCTAGAAACCAGAACAATCCAAATGTGTGCGCCAGCAGCAGAATAAAACTAAACATAAACCATGCCATAACCACACAATGGAAACACCTAAGAAATTACAACTATATACATTACGGGTGAATCTCATAAACGGAATGTTAAGAACCCAGACACATTTCTAGAATACATACAGTATAGTTCCATCTGCATAAAGCCCCAACATAGGCAAAGTTACCTTGTAGTGTTTAAGGTGAGAGCAGTAGTCACCCCTTGAGGGAGGAGGTACAGTGAGGGACCCCAGGGGTAGCAATGTTCTACCAGGCACACTTGTTACACTGTTGTGACACTTGGTGAAAAAAACATCATTAGGCTGCACACTCAAGATCTATTTATAGGGCTGGAGAGATGTTCAGTAGTTAAGAGCACTGGGTATTCTTCCAGAGGACCTGAGTCTGATTCCCAGCACCTACATGGCAGCTCACAACCATTCTGGCTTCCCTGGGCACCAGGCAGGCACAAGGTGTACAGACATACATGCAGGCAAAAAACATCCATGCACATTATATTTTTAAAAAATTTAAAGACTCATTTTTTAAAACATTGATTTATACATTAACATGAGTAAGTTAACAATTTAAAAAAGATATATATATGTATACATATATACATACATACATACACACATACATACATCCACCCTCTAGGTAAAATGATAATTTAAACTAGGTTTTGAAAGGTGGAGAAAATATTTTAAGGGTAAGATAGGCAAAGAAGATATTCAGACACTCCAAGCAAAAGAAAAGATGTGAGCAAAACACAAGCAGAGTGGAAAGCACAAACACAGAATGAGCATTCAAAGCGCTTGCTCTTGCCAAGGACTCTGCTAGATGCTGCTTTTTACATAACCAACTCAGAAAGCTCAGAGGAGTTTGGCAATTTGCCTAAATTGGTTGACTGGTAAAGGAAAGAGTGATTGGGTTCCCATTTCTGAACAAGTGACCTTGTAGTAAGTTTGTTATGTGAATAATACAGGAAAAAGCTGAAAGGTTAAACAGCATCAGGCCCTGAAAGCCCTTTATGCAGCACTGAATGAGGACCAGTGAAGTTTTGGGTTTTGTTGTTTTTAAAAAGTCTGATCCAATTTCTGGAATTAATTTCATAGAAGATGAGAACCAACTCTTCAAGTTATCTTCCAACATCCATTCACATACTGTGGGAGAGGTAGGTTTTTACACACACACACACACACACACACACACACACACACACACACACACACACAGTGCATGCGTTATGCCACTAAATAAAAGTTTAAAAAAATTCCTTGAGAAGATTAGAAGAGATAATCTACAGAAGAAGAAGACAAAGAGAATTCAAGGACTTCTTTAAAGATTATAATAGGGACTGGAGAGATGGCTCAGTGGTTAAGAACAGTGACTGCTATTTCAGAGGTCCTGAGTTCAATTCCCAGCTACCATATGGTGGGGCACAACCAACTGTAACAAGATCTGGTGTCCTCTTTTGGCCTGCAGGCATGCATGCTGACAGAACACTGTGTACATAATAAACAAACCTTTAAAAAAAATTATAACAGTAGCAAGGGCGGTGATAATAGCACACTTTAATCCCAATGTTTGGGAGGCAGAGGCAGGAAGGAAGGTCTCTGAGTTGGAGGCCAGACTGGTCTACAGAATTAGTTCCAGAACAGCCAAGGCTACATAGAGAAATCTTATTTAAACAAACAAACAAACAAAAAAGTACTGTATTAAGGTAAAATAGGTAATGGCCAAAGCAGCCAAAATGGATGTGAATAAGACAGATGGAAAGAAGAGGAAAGAAAATCTTAGAATACCATGCATTCCTGGTAATGACAAAATAGACAGGAAATGTATCTGGAAGTCAAAGGAAGAGAAAAAAGCCAAGGTCCCTAATCCCAGAGCTGATTGAGGAGAATGAGACAGAGGGAAACAGGCTAAGGAGTAAGTGGTGGTAGAGGAAGAGTGCATATAGAATAGAAGAACAACTCTTTAGAAAAGAAAAACAATAGGAAAAAAAGATGCTTAAAGACATTGCAAAATTGTTGCAATGTGCTTTGGGCAGTTAATCTGAACATGTTTAAAGGTTGAGAGGTAGGATGTCCCAGGGATGCCCAAAGTGGACAGGAACAAAAGCAGAAGTCACGTGAAAGGGACAGCACAACTTCTGAAGCAGGCCGAGATAAGGGGGAATATGGAGTAAGAGAATAACAGGCATCTGTAAAACAGGGAAGAGGAAACGAGGAGGAATGTTGCAAAACGTCCAAACTACTACTAGGCAGAACAGTAGCAGAAGTACCACATATTCAGCTTGAGCTCATAATGTCCTAATATATACCACACTCCCAAGTGACAGCTATCCGGCCTGACCCAACTCTGTATCCCACTACCTCAGACTGGCACAAAATCCTGTCACAGAGGAACCTAGGAAATGTGACGATGAAGTGTGACAGGTAAGTAAAACCAAAGGACTCAATATTTCTCTGATTTAAAAAAACAATAAGCAAACAAAAAACTGACATTAAGAAACATCTCTGGCTAAAGCCAAAATTCTCCACTGACTCTTTCCTAGAAGCCCCTAGAGGGCTATAGTGAAGCAAATCCTATCATTATCACTGTCCCAGGAGAACTGTACCATACACAGGCGTCTTCCCTGGCAGGATGACGATAATGAGCTGCAGTCCTGAGTAGGTGTTCTTTAGATGCCGGAACATGGGCTCCACGCTGTCTGCTCCCTGTGCATATTTGCAGAAACAAGGCTGACCCTGGATGGGCATCCCCGCATCCTTGGAAATTTTCCGCAGCTGGTCTGTGAAGTTCCTGTAGCACAAACATGGTCATGGCAGGATGTAATAAATCCCACTGCATCTAATGGGCCAAATGCCTCCATCTTGGGTGTTCAGTACTATCAGATTCTAACATGAAAGGCCCAACCACAGCATATGTGAAATTACATTTATAGTAGAGAAAAACTAAAGAGAACGCTAAAGGAGCTGAAGAGGGCAGATAAGGGACTTGTGGGAATTCTCGGGGCTCTCATCTTTCTGTCTGAGTGAGACCTGTGGATGTCTGTACTCCATTACATGTCCACAGGGGAAAACAAACAACAAACAGATGCTTAAGTGTAAGGCTTTTGTGCCAGAGTAAATGAGAGTCCACCCACCAGGGATGGGAGCACAGAAGGTAAATGCTCAGGGAAAAACTGAGCTCCCCCTCCACTCGCTCACTAAGGCAAAGAGCCAATTACTAAGCAAGTTTCTTTCCTCTAGCTTTAGGTTTTATCCTGAGAAAGGCAACAGAGTTGGTAAAGAGGGTGGCTGTCGTACTGTAAATACATAAACACACAAAAGTGAGTGGCAAGCAATTTAATCCGTAAGTCTTATCATTTAAAAGAAAAGCAATTGGCAGTGAAGTGCCTGTCTGGCTTGTACAAGGCCTTGGATTCACACTTAGCACTGAACAACTTAACTAATAAAAGCAGTAATCAACAAAGAGAACAGAAATGAATGTTTCAGAAATACATACCGCATACGTATCAGGATGTATTTTTTCACATATTTAATAAAAATAAGGTACACAAGCATATTTTATGCAAATTTAAAGCCACATAACATCCATTAAAAAACTAGGTAGAGAAGATTGTAATTCACACCAGCAACCCCATCAGAAGAGAAGAATGCAGGACAAAGAATGTCAAATTTGTATTTTTTAAAAAGACTGAAGTAAACATGATAAAACTATGTTGACTATGTATATGATTTCTACATTATTACTACTGTTATTATTGTGCTGGCTAACTTTTCATAAACAACAAAAAGCTAGAGCCATCTTCAAAAGAGAGACCCTCAATCGAGAAAATGCCTCCTTTAAGATTCCCCTGCAGAAAAGCCTTTCAGGCCTTTTCTCAATTAGTGCTTGATGTGGAAGGGTCCATCCCACGTGGGTGGGGCTAGTCCTGGACTGGTGGTCTCCTGTACATAAGAAAGCAGGTTGAGCAAGCCAGTAAGCAGCACTCCTCAATGGCCTCTACTTCAGTTCCTGCCAAGTTCCCTCAGTGATGGACTGTGATGTGGAACCACAAGCAAAATAAACTCTTCCCTCATCAAATTATCACGGTGTTTTATCACAGCAACAGAAACCCTAGACAATTGTTTTGGTTTTTTTGAGATAGGGTTTCACTATGTAGTCTTGACTAGCCTGGAATTCACTATAAGTAGCCCCAGATGGCCTCAAACATAAGGCAATTTCCTGACCGTAAACTCTGAGTACTGGCACTATAGGCATAAAAGAGGTATAATGTCTGATTGCTACATTATTTTAAGAAATATTTTTAAACAAATGAAAACTAATAAATAATAACATTAAAAAACCCTATAATCTGCAGGTCTCAAGGCAAACATACACTCATAATCCTGACATTTGAGAGACTGAGCCAGAACTACCATGAGTTTGAGGCCAGCCTGAAAGATACATTGTCTCAAGAATACTGTCTTAACATTCTTCCTTCACTCTGCTTCATATACAAATGTCATACAGCTACTAAAACCTTTATCAAAACTTTTTTTTTTTTTTTTTTTACTAGCCAGGTGGTGCTGGCACATGCCTTTAATCCTAGCACTCTGGAGGCAAAGGCAGGCGGACCTCTGTGAGTTCGAGACCAGCCTGGTTTACGGAGTGAGTGAGTCACTTCCAGGACAGGTTCAAAAGCAACACAGAGAAACCTTGTCTCAAAAACAACAAACAAACAAGCAAAAAAAAAAAAAAAAAAAAAAAAAAAAAAAACCAAAAAAAAATTTTAAACCATATTTCATTAATAATGGTCTTTCCTTTCCTTTCTTCCCTGTAATGACAGACTATGATTAAGATACTATACCTAAGGTTAGGAACCAGGAAGTACTGAGATTATCTAGAATGTGGAAGCTACATCCTAACAAAGACACAACCACAGTGATAAACAGATAAAATAATTAATAGAATTGAATATGTTCATCCATCACTGACAAACTTCTCCAACTCCACAGCAACCTCTGTCTCCCCCACTGACTTTGTGAAAAGGATGTTTTTCTCTATGCTGAGTCCTTCTGTCCGTAGGAGCCTTTGCCTCATTTACTTTGCAGTTTTTCTAAATTCTATTTCCAATTTCTATGCATATTTTTTGTTTGTATGTTTGTTTCCCGAAATAAACTGTAGCTTTGGAGGCTGTCTTAGATCTCACTCTGTAGACCAGACTGGCCTCGAACTCACAGAGATCCACCTGCCTCTGTCTCCCGAGTGCTGGGATTAAAAGCATGTGTGGCCACCACTGCCGTCTTTCTGTACATATTCTAAGGAAGTTTCCTCTACATACCATAGTTTTCATTGCTGAAAACTCAGGAATCTTTCTTTATTTTTGGCCCAGAATCATGCATTAAATTAGGTACCACTGATCCAGATAAACAAGTCACTTTTTTATGCCCTACATGTAGGGATTCCTGAGAAAAAAAGGGTGCCTGATGCACTGAACTCCTCCAAACCTGAGATCCTAAGTTTATCAGTTCCTGGTGAACCCCAAAGGTCAAAGCAATAGATTAAAAATACAAAAAACAAACAAACACTTAGACAAGGGCAAGACAAAGAAGTAGGAAAAAGAGCTACCAATTGTAGCAATAATGGAAAGGCTCTCAGCTTTTTGCCTTCAGCCTAGGTATTCTGAAATATTACCACATATGGTGGTTTGAATGAAAACAGCCCCCCCCCAGGCTATTTATTATATTTGAATGCCTGGTCTCCAGTTGGTAAAATTGTTAGAGGAGATGTATCACTGGAAGGCGGGCTTTGAGGTTTCAAAAGCATACGCCACTCCAGTTTGCTCTCTCTCTTCCTCTTGTTTGATCAGATGTAAGCTCTAAGCTATTGTTCCAGAAAGAACCATGCCTGACTGCTGTCGTATCTCTGAAACAATGGTAACAGACTCATCCTCTGGTACTGTAAGGCCCAATAAACTATTTTATAAGTTGCCATCATCATGGTGTTTATTATAGCAATAGAAAAGCAATTAAGACACCACCTACTCACTATCAAGATGAAAGAACATAAATTAGTCACTTAAGTGTAATGTTAGCATAAACATTATGGTTATTACCACTACTACTTATTACCAATTATGATAATTAGAACAATAAAATGACTCAGGCCTCCCTTAGAGTCATAGCCAAAAATTTATGTCTGATACAGATATGGCTCCTGAAGTCTTCTGATCACATATGAACAGAAAAGAATAGGCAGAAATGTGAGTCAGAAAAAAACAAAGCAGAGTTAAAAGACAAAAGGCAGATCCCAGATCAATCTTGATCCCTAGAGACTATGGGATCAACAGCTCTGGGATCCTTCCCACCCACCCAACCCCAAACCCAACTCTCTTCCATCCTTACTTGAGCACCTCTTCTCGACATTGTTTTTGGGGTGCGAAGCAGGCGATGGCCCAGACTTTGATCTCAATCCCATTGTAGAATTGTTTCCCACGCATGTCCCAGACACCTTGGTTGGGTGTAGCAATGGCCCGGTTCTAGGGACAGGCAGAGGGGGCGCCCAGGTGAGCCTCAGTAGAGCCATGTGAGGAGGGAGCAAAAGCCCCTAAGCCATGTAGCCCAACTACCCCCATATGCCCCGGAGAGGTTGTCTGGCCCTGACCCTGCTCACCCGGCCGCCATACTGCAAGATGGGCGCCGGCAGCACTCGCCCCGTCACCTCCGTCATGTCATCCTTCACTTTGATTCCAAATTCCTGGATGTAGGGATCTAAGTTGTAGCTGGCATTCTTCATCTGCAGGGCAAAAGAGGGGGAATCTCAGGGGAGCAGTAGCTTGGCACTACGGCTCATGTTCTGGGTCCCAAGGAGAGAGCCCTGAAGAGAAAGAAGCTGAGGCTGCCAAGCAATAGCCCTGAAAAAAGAAACTGGAAATGAAGGGAGTGGGAGTGCAAAGGGGAGTTGTGTTAGGAAGGAGGGAAAAGGAGAAAGAGCAGTTAAAGGCTCAAAAAGCAAGAGCAGCCTGCAAAGCCCCAGATAATAAATCCAGACAGGTTTTCCTGAAAGAAGGCCTTGCTGGACCAACTATCAAAGCATCTACGCTACTAAAGGCCCCAAAGTGAACAAGCATGCACTGCTCAGCAGTCCCACTGACCAGGCGACTGATCTCCTCCTGTCTGTCTGGAGCCGACCTAGCTGTAGCCTTTATCATGGTTGAGGTCTGGTTGTCAGTCAACTTCTTAATGCACCGCTGCCCGGCCACAATGTTACAGACCTGAGGAAATGAGGGGAGAAGTAGTTACAGCCAGAGCACAGACTATCCTTATACAGTACCTTAGCAATTAAAAATGGGGAAAGGGACTACAGAGTCGTTTATACAAAAATACATTGTGACCAGGTCTCATGTATTAATTGAGAATAATTACAAGCCCATCGGGTGTCTAGAGATTAAATAAAACACTAAAGAGCTGAGCACAATTCTGGAACCCTGCACTCAGTAAATTATAGCATACATTATTATTTACCCAAGGACTAAGTACACAGCTCTTTTGAATATTAAAAACCCAATATAATATAATATAATAAGCAAATCAGATGCCTAGGACACCTCTCCAATGGTGGCAGGAAGTACACTGCTCCGTCTGTAACTAACCAGGAGGAACAGAGACAGCTCAAAATTTTTGAGTTCCTGAGACCCAGAAAGTACAGGAAACATTATTTCTTTCTTTTGTGTGTGTTGGGGAGAACAGTGTGTTTTGAGACTGAGCCCAGGGCTGTATACATCCTAAGCAAGCACTCTACTGAGTGAGTGGTATCTCCAGCCACAGAAATCACTATTTCCATTGGCTGGCAGTATTCTTTGTTAGTATAAGGAACATCCTGCTACTTGGTTCTTCTGTTTTACACACAAGATGGAGATCAAAAACAATGCCAAGGGGCTGGAGAGAAGAGATGGCTCAGCAGTTAAGAGCACTGGCTGCTCTTCCAGAGGACTGGGGTTCAATTCCCAGCACCCACAGGGAAGCTCACAACTGTAACTTCAGTTCCAGGTGATCCAGCATCCTCTCATACAGAGTATATACAGAAGAAACAGTGCACTTTGTAATAGTGTACGTTGAGGACCATCTGTTTATGACCCACATTGGGCACCATCTGTAGTTTCCTTAGACCAAACATCCTTCAGTAGCCATTCCTTAGACCCTCTAGGTATGTATTCAAAAGAAAACAGAGTTGACAGGTGTTTTGTACACCTTTGTTCACAGCAGTATTATTTACATAGTTGCTACTCAAGTGTCCATCACCACTAGGAAATATAAACCAAATAAGGTCTATACATATAGAAGTATATTACATCTTAAGGAAGAGAATCCTAACACACCACAACATGGGTAACCCTGACATCATGCTAAGTGAAATAAGCCAGTCAAAAAAGATAAATATATGCCTATACTTGTATAAAGAACCTAGAGAAGTCAATTCCTAAAAAGAGGCTGCCAAAGCTGGAGGTGGGGGGTTGGTCTTTAATGGGTTCAGTTCTGGAGACAATGATGAGAGTCAAATAACAATGTGAATGTACTTAATGCCACAGAACTCTGCACACATGATTAAAATGGTAACTTTTATGTTATACACAGCTGACTACAATTTGAAACAGAAAAGATTTAATGCAGGAATGAACTGACCTGAAGATGAACAAATGATTTTGCTGGGTCTCAGTGGCTGGAATAATTACTTAAGGAACACAAAAGACTTAGGTTGGTAGCACTGATTATTTTTACTTCTTAGTGTGGAGCTTCAAATTATCCATTTTCTTATTTAAATCTTGCACGGATACCCACTACAATTAAAATAAAACCCCTCCAGACTAGAAATGGGAACCCTCATTCAGTGCTGACAGGACTTAGGATGTAAAACAGTTATGTACAAGTTCACTCTTATGTATGTATTCAAGAGAAATGGAAATTAATTCAGAAGAAAAAGTAAATGAATGCTCCCAGCAGTGTTTTTCCTATCAGGCGAAAAGCGTAACACAAATGCCTGTCAGTGACGAAGAAACAAAACGATGTATCTACATAATGGAACAACACCCTTATAGCAATGAGGATGAATCCTGGAACAATTATGCTAAGAGAGAGAAACAATAGTCAATCTTAGTGGCGCATGCCTTTCATCCCAGCCCTGGGGAGGCAGAGGAAGGGTTATCTCTGTAAGTTCAAGGATAGCCTGGTCTACAGAGCGAGTTCCAGGACAGGCTTCAAAGCTACAGAGAAACCTTGTCTCAGGAAGAAAATAAAAGCCATTAAAAAAAAGAACACAGACTGTATGATTATATATATTGCCAAAACAGGCAAATCCACAGAGAAAACAGCTTAATAGTTACTAGGGACCATTAGGGAAAGTATGGGCTTTCTTCTGGGGGTGATAAAACATTCTAAAATTAAATAGTCATGATGTATACATAATTCTATGAATATGCTAAGTACCACTGAATTATACATTATCACATTTTTATGTCTATTATGTCTTCATATAGCTATTAAAATGTTTTTAAATCCTCCACAACATTCAATGTAATCTAACCCTCCACCTTTTCCACCATTAAATCCTATGACTTACGTTCCCCCTCATACACTACAGCCCTCTGTCCCTCAGAAAGATTCAGATTGTCTTTAGTAGCTGTTCCTCCTGCCAGGAAAGCTTGTCCCTATTATTACAAGGATGGTAGCCAAAATTTGGACTTAGATCAAATGTCTCCTAAAAGAGACCACCCTTGACAATAATAACTACAATAGTCCCTTGACCCTTCACCCTTACTTCTATCCCTGTACCTGTTTTATTACTTTTATAGCACTGACTACTGTTTGAAACTACATATGTGTTTACCAATTTGTTGTCTGTCTTTCTAGAAGAACAGAAGTTCCAGGAGAGGAGGGACCCTTTCTATTTACTTAATTTCTGTATTATTTCTGTGCTAAAACTATACATAACATATAAGTTTGATAAACATATGTTAAATAAGCAACAATACAAATCAAGGTATATAATTATATAAATGATTCACCTTGAAAACTACTGTTTCACATAAATAACATTGTTCAAAAATTTCAGCTTGTAATACATATCAATTTAGCTGGCACTCTCCCTTAAAGACCTCAGTTTATACCTCCGAGATCATATTGCCTTCATCCCATTTTCTGTGTATCGGCTGCTACTAAACAAGCCAGAGTCTTGTTTTGCTTTCCTCTCCCTTTAGTCTCACTTTCTTGGAATAGGTTCTGGAACCCTAGAAGTTCAAAAGAAGCTTGAGGTATAAGTTCACAGAAGCCACCCAACCCCCACTGCTGGAATAAGTGGGGAGTCTGTGTGAGTGTACCTCCAGCTCTAATGTATATGCTCTCCTTTTAGATTTTACTAAAAGACAGGCTCTGACTCAATAGGTAGAGACACAAGCTCAGGTGATGCCCATCCTGGTGGCACACTGATGGTGTTTCATGATCACACACTGGGCCAGAGAGTAAGGCAGTAAGAAATTCTTCACAAGGCTTTGCCTGGAGATTCGACACTGGTATTCTGTGACTTAAACAGTATTACTGTCCTCTTATTGAATGTTGTATTTCAAAGGTCTGTGAAGGACAAAGGCGTGAAAAGTCTGGAGATTTAAAACTTTCCCAGAAGAGAGCTCATTAACCACTAGGGAAACGGAATTTACATTACAGGAAACATTTGCCTCTATTTTCTTCAGAATGAGATATAATTGTATCTCTAGGTCACTCATTATCCCTAACTGCAGACAGCAAGAAAGAGAAATGAAGACATATGTGTGAGTATCTGAAATCTCTGTCCTGACCAATTATAGAATAATAAACATAAGGGTAGTGCATGCACAGTTGGCACATGCATGCCTAGCATGCATAAAACGTTGGGTTCAAACCCAACACCCCATAAACTGAGGGTGGAAGTGTTATGTCTAGAACCCCAGCCCCGGGAGGTAGAGATGGGAAGATCAGAAGTTCAAGGTCATCCCTGTCTAAACTTCAAGGCCAGCCTGGGCTAGAGACTTGTCTCAAATGAATGAATGAATGAACGAACGAACGAATGAACGAACTTGCCCTTCTGTCTGGTAGTCCTGAAAGAATATGAAAGCAAAACCAGGGATAAGAAAAGGATTAGGCAAGTGGGAAGTCTATAATTCTCATGAAGACAATCTTAAACCTTCCTAGAACATCGTCTTTCTAAACTTCAAATCGAGAGCAGACTATGAATGGCTGCACAGATCCGATGATCAGTGTCAGGGAGCCCTTCTGTGGCAGCCTTACCTCGAGGGGCAAATAGGTATGCTTCTGTTCTTGCCCAACTTGTAGGCAGGGCAGGTGGGGATACTTGAGCTGAAGGTTATATTTCTGCTTGAAATACTGTGCCACGGTACATTCCACAGTCTGTCCACTTTCCAGCTGCAAGGGAAACCTGTATGGAGGAAGGTAAGGAAGTATCATAACTTATCATCCAGCCCCATCTCTCTACAGTCCCAACCAAAGAAAGTTTCACTGGAAAAGCCGAAGATCTGATGGACAGGTCCCGAAGCATCAACCATATCTGACTCATTTATGTTTCTAACACCTGAATAGAATTGATACTAAAGATAAGTCCCATACAGCCTGGCATCAAGAAAGGGATGGAATCTGATGATTTTCCTACAGCTAACTCAGGGACCCTGAATTTAGCATTTTTTTCAGGAGGAAGAATAAATTGAAATGTTCTATATTTACAGACCCAACAGTAAGTAATTGGTGGTCCACACATGTTTATAGTAAAAGTCCAAGGAGGAAACCAAGAGATCAATGGGGATAATCAGTCTGGGAAGGTCTGGGAAAGGATGCCAAATTTGCATCTCTTATCTCTAAGCACAGGCCAATGCCAAGTTATATTCTGAAGGACCACATGAGAAGGAGTGGGTACAGAGCTTAGTCCTGTGCTACCAGTTGACTGTGCTTAGCAATGCTGCCAACTTACGTCTGATGACTAGCAGGGCGCCGGGTAACATTACACACGCGGTATTTCCTCTTCATCTGTCCACAGTGGGTCACTTCCACCTTCAGGCCTGAGATACACACACACTACTTGTCAAGGTTGAGACAGGATGCTCATGCTCCCTTTCTTGGCCTCTCCCAGGGAGATTTCCTCTTACGGGTAGAGAACGCAGAGCTTCCCCTTCCCCATTTGGGTGGGTCCTCACCTTTTATCTCCTTGGTAAAGCGAACACGCTGGGAATCCGTGAGGGGCTTGGGCTGTTCATCTATGTTCCTGATGTCCAGGACCTCACACATGAACTCAATCACTGGCTGTGCTTTGTAGAAGGCAGTGGCTGAGACTGTGGGGGCGGGAGAGACAGCTGGGCTCAGATTCTTTCAGAGAAAAAAACTGAAGACATTACAGTTTATACTCTCTTCTTTACAGGGTACCAGGAGAGGGACAGGGTGTGCCAAGGCTTCAGGACTAGGCATGTGGCTGCAGAGCTGGGAGGGATGAGGCTGGGAGTGTGGTCACTGGATTTAGGGTGCCCCTGGCTCCATAGCTTTCCCAACTCACCATCAATGTTGAGCATCATCTTCCACATGGCAGGGCGCACAGACTGGTGAAAGCCGAACCAGACCTCGCGCCCACCCCCCAGCGGGTGGTAGTAGCCCTCAGGCGGTGAGAAGAAGGAGCGGCCCACAGGGGTGTACCTGGCAGGGACAGGCAGAGAACTGGTCCCTCGGGCACAGGCCCCCACCCTGTGAGGCATCCTGGGCACGGAGGAGCCCTGGCCTGGAAGGCAGGACACCAGGGCTTTAATGCCAGCTCTGTTCTTGGGCCAATAGTAAGACTGACCTTGTACAAGTTTCTACCTTTTCTCTGCCCTGCAGGGGCAAATGGGGTGAGGCCAAAATGGTACCTAAGGACAGGGCCAAGGATCTAACCATCTAAATGTAAATATACTTACTTGCCTGACACGTGGTTGGGCTTCAGTTTCTTTTTCCCAATGATACACTGTGGGACCTGAATACTTCCTCCCTCCCTCCTCCCCCAACAGCAGTTTTGCAAGCACCTATAGCCTAGGTAATAACTACACTCAGTACCTCATAGATGCCAGGTGCCTCATGGCCACATCCAGGGCTTGCACAGACTCCAAGGGCACAGGGATCTGGCCACTGACCAGGGCTTCATGCAGCATACGCCAGCTCACAATAGCTAGCCACTTGATGGAGACCTTAAAAATTCTATCTTTTCCTTCCCCAGGGATTGTCACCTCAAAGTCAACCTTTGGGACAAAAAGAAGGAAAGGATTTACTGTCACGTTCCCACAGACTCCACCTCCTGCCCCACTCACTGTCCCCCCCTCCACAGACCTGCCATAACATCTTTAAAGTTACCAGGGGCTCACAATAAAAACTGCAGAGTCAAAAACCCACACTGCTTTCCGAGGATGATGCTTCAGTGCTTCCGGCCCTCTCAACCCCGAAGGAAATCCTTTGGGTCTATAAGTCTAATCTTGGTCTGTTTGGGAACAGGCACACAGTCCACTAAGTGCCAAACCTGAACTACCATACACTTTTCATCACAAAAGCAAAAGAAGGATCTCTGGACTAGAGCACTGTAGGTGGGCTTCCATGTTCCACGGCAGACATGGCACAAGCCCGACCTCGTCCCTAGCCTTACCCTCTCGTTGCCGATGGGCAGTGCTGTGACAGTGTAAATGTTCTTCTTTCCATCATACACAGGCTTGCGATCCCCGAAGATCTGAGGCTTGAAATGCTGGACCATGTACTCGACCACTTCCCTGGGGAAGACAGACGTGGCATGGGAAAGCTTGAGTATAGCACTTCAGGCTTCTGGAAACAGCTCAGGGTTCAGGCAAAGTTCCGTTTACTATGCTCACTCCTAACGTCTACTCTACGGCAACATTTCTCAAACTTCAACATTCCTATGAATTGCCAGGTTTCATTAAAATCAGTTTCTGATTGGCAGGTCTACAGTGTAGCTTGAGAAGCCACATTCTGACAACATAGTTGACACTGCTGGTCCTCAGATCACCAAGATCCTCACAGACCTTGAAGAGGAGAAGGGCTTGTTCTCAGGTCTATCCTGAACCTTCCACAACCTTTGATTCCCAGTCTGTCAAGCAAAATCAAAAAGGGAAAGATCTGAACTAGACTAGAAGTAAAATAAACTACAGAATGAATTAATTTCTCCAGCTCTCTGAGATCTACCATGGTTTTCTCTCCATTATCATCCCTCCCCCATCTCATTTCTTGCATTCTCCTATTTAGTTCCCACATAACCATCATATTTTCAAACTCCCAGCCACCCAATTATCTGACCATTCCACTTTCTAAACCCAAACTCTTATGTACTGCTACAACATAAAACATACTCAAAAGGTACACTAGAAACAATGGTAAAGCACATGGTCTCAATCCCAATTAGGCCAGTGCTACCAAGAAATTCACCTTGACTACTTATATTCCTCATAGACTGACTGTATGAAACCTTTCCCACCAACTTCTAACTGCCTTTTATCAAAAAGCAGCTCTAATAGCAATGAAAGGAACAATAACTAGCAGCTAAGGCCACTTTAGAGTTCTTAGACATAATCACAAACATGCTTACTTACACAGGGACTAGTCCTGCTTAGCACGTGAAACACCCTTTCACAGATTATTACATACATGTCTCAACTATCTACTTATCCAAACACAAAACATAAAAGAATTGGATATATTAGGTTGGTATAAGTATGTGCAATAGAACCTCTGAATTCTTGCATGTTGAGGAGAATGAAAATTGGTTTTAGTAAAACCAGCTTCTACAAGAGCTAGTACCAGGACAGCATCCAAAGCCACAGAGAGAAACTCTGTCTCAAAAAAAAAAAAAAAAAAAAAAAAAAAAAAAAAAAAAAGAAAAAGAAAAAAAGAAAAAACCAACTTCTAATTTGCAGGTCTATAATGTAGACTGAAAACCTACACTCGGACATCCTAGGTGATGCTATCTCTAAAAATTGACAATGTCTCAATTTAAACAGTCTTGTACCAGCAATCCACTCCTAGGATTTTATCTTACAGATACACACTCAGTGTATCTTTATATAATATCTAATAGTTTCAATCTTATAGCAATCTTATAGTTGAGACCCAATCTATATATCCCTCAATAGATCAAGCAAGTTATATGGCCATTCTGTGGAATATCTACAGTGTTACTACACAAGAGAATGAGGCAGATCTACACAAATTAATATGGGCAATGCAGAGCAAAGTATATAGTATTGTGCATTAATATTACATATGCATATATTTATGTATGCACAGAAAAAGTATCTGAAAATACATTCAAGACTGTTTTAAAAAGTGTTCTGGGGACAATAACTTCACTGCCAATTCCTAAGGGTTTTATTGTTGTTGTTGTTTGTTTTTCAAGACAGGGTTTCCCTGTAGCGTTGGAGTCTGTCCTGGCACTTGACTGTGATTTCAAGGCCAGTCTGATCTACAAATCTACCCAGAGCAACCCCATCTCAAGAAACAACAAAAAAGTTCTCTACACACCCATTTCAACAAACGGTGGAACGTGATACTTTACTCTTAGCCAACATGTTCCCTCTTTCCCTGTTTAATAAACTGAAGTTGGTGTCATCCATATGCATCACTTACCGGTTGACTCTTCGAGGACACTTATCTGGCTTGATGTCCACCTCATAATGGTAAACGTCAATCTTAGGAATGTCCACTTCAAAGTAATTGGCCAGAAGCTTGATCGGTTTGCCCACAGTGCCAATGCCAGGCCGGCGGGGTGCCTGGAACACCTGCTGCAGGGGAGGCAGGTAGGCACCTGCAGCTGTTAAGACAAAGGACAGTGAGGACAGACTCTGGCAACCTTCTAATGTCTGTGACCAGAGAAAGCACAAGGCCTTTCAGACCCAGATCAACCAGGGAGCATGGGTGGATCTCTTTCCAGCCTCCTAACCCAGCAGGGGACTTCCTTCCACTAACTCAGACATTCCCAGGCTCATTGGTTTTTCCAATGGTTTGCTCCATTTGTTTTTGTCTTTAAAACTTTTCTTCAGTTAGGAAAATGTATCTTAAACTTCAACAAATAAATGTGTAATGAGTTCCGATAACATAAGGGAAGGGACCAAGTCTGGTTCCTAGTTTACAAAGCCCTTTCCTTCTTTCATACTAGAAGGAGACACCTCTCTACCAGATATCTGGCAGATTAGAATGTTCTATGCTCTGCTATGAGAAGCTCACTTCACTCATCACCATCCTAGTACTGGGATTAAAGGTGTGCACCACTGCCACCTGACTGCCATCAGGACTTCGAAATGACATCCTCTGTTAATGCGGACAGGAGAAAGACCCCCACCCCAAAGAGAGCCAGACTGGGAATGGCAAGGCCAGTGCCTGAGATAGGACTAAGATGGAGTGTTTGGAGCTGGAGGGAGATAAAGGAAGACAAGGCTAGAGGGAGAGATAGCATCTGGAGACTAAGATGATAAAGAGAGGCTGGCAGGGGTGGGAGAAAAGGTCAGATATGGAGGTCACAAGAGAAAATGACTTGAACTGGTCAGTAAAAGGAGTGAGGGCTGTGGCAGGTAGGGCTGGAGAGCTGGGTGATAAGGAAGAAACCATCAAGACGAAGTATGAAAGAAGAAGAAGAACAACAAAAAGCTCACAGGAAGAAAGAGCTAGAGGCTCTGGGAAGCAGGAAGAACAGTAAGGAAGACACTGAGTCGGGAAAGTATAAGGCACTTTCCAGGCTTCACAAATCTTCCCCTAGAGGGTCCAGACAGCAGAAGGGATCAATTGCAAGACAGAGGGGACCCTTGGGAAAGGGCTAGGATAGACAGGCCAGCCATGACTGCTACTGCCAGTCTTATTTTCTACCTCTCTCTCTCCCCCCCCCCTCTCTCTCTCTCTGTGTGTGTGTGTGTGTGTGTGTGGTATGTGTGTAAAGCCTTTGTCCCCAGCTACTATTGTTCTTGGCAGCAGAGGACCAGCCCAGGTGGAGAGAGGGAAAAACTAACCCAGAACCTCCTCCCTTAACCACAGCTCTGCTTTCATAGACAGAAAAAACTCAGATGGAAAGGGGGTAGGAGGGCATGGAGTGCATCTTCAGCAAGGGTGTCAGGAAGAGACCAGAACCAAGTGTAGGAGGCGCACACTTCCCAAAGCTGAGGTGCTTGTCTCTGTCTAACCACCTGTCAAGGCAGCCCCAGCCCCTTTCTGAAGAGGGAAATGCAAATCCACCCCAAAGGCAGAGGGCCTTCAGAAGCCAGCTGCAAGGAAACTGAACTACTCACACCTATCCCAGAAAGAGCTGAACAGGTATTGTACACAAGCCCACTGGCAGACAAACATTCCTATCACATACAACCTAGCCTTTCAAAGTCTACTGTTCTAAGCACAATGTTTCAAAAGACAGGACCATACCGGACTTGGCCACCACTCAAGCTAATGCCAGGCATAAATACAGGTACTCCGTATACTCATATACAATAAATGAACAGGCACACCCATAGGCATACCAGAGCACACAACCACACAAACATGCTTGCCACTGTCCCAAACAATCACAAACCCTATACAGAAGAAGCATTTGGTCCCTTGGGGGGGGGGGTATCTTTCCCTTCCAAATTGTAGGACTCCATTCACCTTTGCCTCCTAGACTGGGAGGCAAATCCTGGGAGAAAGACCCCCCCCCAGAACTAGGGGTTGGGCAGAAATGATAGTGGGTGGGACAGACACTCCCCTCGGAGCTTTCTCTTCCCCAGAAATGGACAGCACACCAGTGTCTTAGGGCACTTTCCCCAGGAGTCAGGGAAAATGGGGAACATGTCTCCATATCATTCCCCAAACTAGGGAAGCAGGCAGGAGGAAAGAACTACTTCTCTGCCATTCTAGCCCCTGGAAAGCTCCATCCACAGCTGTACAGTCTCCACTCCCTAACCTCGCCCTGCCCCCAGCTTTTAGTCTGAGAAAGGAAGACACTTCCCCTCAGACCCAGACAGGGACAGACGGCCACTTTGTGATGCAGATGAGGGCCCCAAGCACAGAGGACAAAGCTCCGGCCTAGGGGGAAAGGGGCGGGGTCCTTCCCTGCAGACAAAAGCAAGAAGGGAGGGGCCCTGAAAATGACACTCCCCCTCCCCCATCCCCAACCAGCCCTGAGAAGGAAAAGTAACAGAGCTCAAGGCCCAGGCTCAGGATTCCTCTCCAGCAACTCCAAGGCTCACAAGAACCTGACTGCCTACTCAAAGGGCCTGTAGCCTTGAATAAGAAAAGACTAAGAGACCAATCTCTCCAGAAATATTTGTCCACAAACATTAAACACCCACGCACATAGACACAAATTACGGAATACGCACATGAGTTTAACCATATGTTCACACTTGAATGTGATGAGTCAATTAATAAACATGCACTCTGTGTCAGGGCCTCCATGCACCAGGCAGCTGCCGCCACCACAGATAAGTGGGGCAGTACCTCCACCCTCAATGTGCTTCCAGGCCAGTCCACATGCCTGAACACATCTGCACACTGAAGGCATCTACCCATACATGGGCAACACTGCTTTGGTTTTGAGACTTCTCAGAACAATTAATTCTTCAACATCTTCCAAGAGAACAAATGGTATTATTGCCCAGTCCCAGAAGGAAGCAATTATGGGGTCTCCATCAGAGTTCCCAGCCTGAATTGCTGTTACATCTTTTGATGAAGCAAACTCCATGCCACTAATATTTTCCCAGTGACAGAGCGGACTCCCATGCTCCAGCCCTTTACCTAGAAGCTTCTTGTAACAAACAAACCCATTTCTTCATCACTCCAGACCCCACTAGACAGCCATCAAGATAAAATTGTTAGTAATATAGGACAACAAGCCTTCAGTGTGTCTAGATGTGGGTGGTCCACAGGTTGTTGGTAACAGTCTCCAACCTAGAAAACTAGAATTTGCACTCTACTTTACAAGGCGATTTATGTTTGGAGGAATACATCACAGATCATTGAATCAGAGACTTGGGAGAGTTTTAAAATCAACACTATTATTGGCTTGAAAAACAAAGATGTTCCCCCAAAATCTTTAAGAGTAATCTAAACAGAAATCCTATTGCATCATCCCTACACCAAATGGAAGGAGGTGGTGAGAGCTAACCCAAAGGATTCTGAGTCCAGATTATCCTTTCTATACTATCGGGTAAGAGACATACAACACAAAAGGTATCATAAGTCTAAAAGCCCATCCTAAGGACTCCAGTCTTCTCTGGGCAGCCCTGCCTCAGTTTCTCCTCTATTCTTACCTACTTTTCTCCTGACTATAAATAGGAAAAAATAAGTTAGGGCTACAATCGGGATCAATTATCATGCCAACACCTCCAACAACTTGTTTCTATCAGACAGACTAGCTAGGCAACCTTGGTTCTAATGACAAGACTCTGACATGACAAAAGATCCACTGGGAAACAGGACTCACCAATATAGGGAGATTACACTGTCACATAAAGAGCCAGTTCAAGAAAAAGGAAGCTATCCTTGGATTTAAAGCTCCCATCTCTCCTCAGTAGTGGTCTAGAATCTCGAAAAGCAAGTGGGCCTGGTCTCTTAATAACCAACACTTTTCTAAGGCCTATCTTCAGGGAGAACCAGCTCCCAAAGCATGGCTTCGGTCCCAGTCTTTCCTCATGTGGCAGAAAAAGGCACTCTGGCAGTTTACCTCAACCCATTCTTTGGCAAACTGCTACTGTGGGGCTTTAAGGACCAAGTGTCAGAGACCCCCAAGACAGAGACGAAGGCAATTTCCATTTGTATTCTGCCAACAGAATCTAAGAGAGAATGCACACATCAGTGCACTCCTTTTCCCAAGCCAAACAGGACAGAGGAGGGGTAGGGGTATTCAAACAGCCACGCCCCCACTACACAGGGCAGCCCTTTAGGCTGGTACCTCCGCGCATGCTCCAGGGCCACCACTCAAGTCCCCAGCCTAAGGGGGAAATCCCAGGGCTAGATCCCCACCCACCGCCCCCTGACCCTCACCCCCGCTTCAGGCCCAGTTAGGGCGGAGCACAGAGCCCAGCTCTGGCGCCTTCTCCCAAGAGACATTAGCTTAGCCCAGCCCAGCACGGCCGAGCCCCCGCCCCTGGCAGGCGGTAGTTCCAGGCCCATCTGTGTCGCCCCCCCCTCTCCTGGACACCTGGAGCCCGCCCCCTGCCACCTGCCAGGCCTCCCCAACCTCACGGAAGGACTCCGGTGCATTCAGGCCCTTCTCGCAGATCACTTCCCACCCTCAGGACTGCATTCTGCTTCCTAGGACAAACAGCCCGGGTCTCAGATCTTCACATGGCTCTCTGCCGGAACTGCACACAGCCCCCTTCAAATTGGGCCCCCCATCTCCTGAGAGCCTCTCTCCTCACTCTGGAACCATGCTCTTCCCGCGGGAGACCCAGGGCTTTGGAACACACACCGCTCCCGGCTCCCGAGGGCCCTTACCTGCTCCCGAGGGTCCCGCTTCCATCCCATATACCCGTGCGGAGGACAGGCGGCCGGGAGACTGAGGAGTCCAGCGTGAGCGGCCTAGGTGCCTCGCACTTGCACTGCTCGGGCTCCCGGGCCGGGCTCGGCTCCCCCCCGAAGCCCGGCCGCTCGCGCCGTCGCCCCCGCAGCCTCCGTTGCCGCCGCCGCGGAGCCTGCAGCAGCTCCCCCTGCGAGCGCTGCCAGTGCGCAGGCGCGACCGATGGGCCCAGGGGGCGGACGGGAACGAGTCAAGCGGGGCGCTCGACGGCAACAAAGGCCAATGGAGAGGGGCGGGGGCGCGAGGCCCATGCAGCGGCCCCTGGCGGCCACCCGTGGCCGTGCAGCCTGGCGGGAGGGCTCCGGTGGCGGAACCGCGCAGTGGCGTAAGTGGGGCGGGGCTGGGCAACACCCCTTCCCCGGCTGCAGCCTGGGGCCCTGTCTTTTCCCTAAAAAGGTCCCTGGGAACCTACCGCTGCCCCTGCCCTCGGCACAGAGCCTGGCTCCTAACTCATTCTCCGGCCCTCTTGCCCTCCAACATCCCTTCACCCCGGGGCCCTGCCTCCCACCCTCTCCTAGTCACCCTCATCCTTTAAGTCTTGGCTGCCTCTGCGAAGTCAGTATTTCTGCGTCCCTAGTCGCTGATCTCACTGACGCCACCCTCTCTTCCAGACCGCGAGCCGGGCGGGTGCTGAGACCACAGATGTGCTAAGAGACCCTGCCTACTTTGGAAGATGTCACAGTTTCAACTCAACTGTAGAAACAGAGCTCTCTATCTACAGGACCCTGGAAGCACCTGCCTCCACTTTCTCACCTGCAAAATTTTGCTCTTACCAAATCACTTAAATGACGTTTTGTGTCGAAACCCATTATTTCTCTGCAACATCTGACCCTAAGCATCTTCTTTTTTAAATAATTTACCTCGCTTCTTTATTTTCTTAGGTCTCCTAGTGCCTGTTCTGTTCAGCTTTCTTTAATGGTTCCTGTTTGTTTTGTTCACGGTAGTTCCAATCTGAGTTTTATGTTCTACTCTCCACGGCTTCATCCACTCTTAAAGCCCAAGTATCTATCTATATAAAACCACATAGCGGCTTCATATTTCCTACTGTCTGCTGGACAGCTCCACCTGGATCTAACTTTTCAAATTTAAGTCAAAACCTAACTCCTTTTATGCCAAAAATGTCAGTTCTTGTCTCCCTTGTCCATTTGCCCTAATTAACTACGTCTTGATGCTTGTCTCCTGAAGCACTCTCAAAAATCATTTCGTCATTCCCATAGTTCCTTGTGTGGGTACTCTTCATACCAGAAACAACACCACACCTACTTCCTTGATAATCTCACACATCATTGGGCATATTCTTCTCATTTGGTCTGCTGCACAGACAGGATAATTATAGTGAGACACAATCTCTGTCCCTCTCTCTTTCTCTCTCTCTCTCTCTCTCTCTCTCTCTCTCTCTCTCTCACACACACACACACACACACACACACACATTCGTGTAATTTTTGAGACAGGGTCTCACTATGTACCCTTGGCTGGCCTGAGGCATGTTATATAGCCCAGGCTGGCCTCCAAATCACAGTATCCAGTTTCCTCTGCCTCTCAAGTGCTTGGATGAAAGCTGTGTGCCACCAGAACCAGGTCCTAAACAGTTTCAAAGTCTGCTATATAGCAGATGCTATATGCAAAGGCCTAGGACTTAGGAGATGGATCATGCTCAGACCTTACCAGTAAGGTGAACTTATGACACTCATTTTTAGCATGCCTAGCTTCTCTTCAGCAGTTTCTCAGACAACAACCCTAATAATTACCTGGAGGGCTTGTTAAAACACTGACTGTTGTGCCCTGCCTGCAGAGTGTGAGCCATAGGTCTTATGCTACATAACAGAATGTATGTTTCAACCAGGCGGGGTGGTGGTGCACTCCTTTAATCCCAGCACTGGGGAGGCAGAGGCAGGTGGATCTCTGGGAGTTAGAGGCCATCCTGGTCTACTTAGAGAGTTCTGGGACAGCCAGAACTGCATAATGAGACCCCCATCTCAAAAAACGTGTGTGTGTGTGTGTGTGTGTGTGTGTGTGTGTGTGTGTGTTTAATAACTTTCCAGGTGAGGCTACTGTAGCTGATCTGAGGACTACCACTCTCCAGTGGTTAAGAAGAAAGCTCTAGAGCTGTCTTGGTTTCGATCCTTGCCCTGTCTTTCACTAGCTGTGGAACATTAAACAAGCCATTTCACTTCTTGGCATCTCAGTTTTCTCTTGTGTAAAATGGTGGTGATATAGTACTTACAACATTGGGCTGTTGTGAAGATGAAAAGAATTAATAAGAAAGGCCTTAGAACAGTGATTGAAAGGATGCAAGCAAGCATAGTAACAGCTGCTATCACTGTCATTTATCTGCCTCCCACACAGTAAGCTCCTTGAAGATGGATCATATCAGATGCATTTCTGCCTCATTCAGTGTCTAGGAAATATGTGCCTATAATCATTAGTAAATCTGGGTTTAGCCGAACCAAATAGAACATTAAAAAAAAAAAAAAGATAATTTTCAGACAATAGGAAGACCTTTGCCTGGGAAGCATTCCCTAAGAGTAGGAAGCATTCCCTAAAAGCCTGAGTTTCCTTTTGTTAAGATCCAGCCTTGTGCTTAATTTTAAAGAAAAGGACTGGTTATCACTCTGACTGATCTCAGAGTGGAGTCAAGCTTTGCCCAGCTTCCAGGGTTTTTCCTAAGACTTCATCGTCCATCATTAGAAATCTCAGTCTCAGCTAAGAAAAGTGCTATAAGGAAATTCAGAGAGCATCCCCCCTCCCCCAGGGTGATAAACTAACTTCAGGGCCTCTTTTTCTAATCACTAAATTATAGTGTTTTTTGTTTGATTGTTTGTTTGGGGTGTGTGTGTGTGTGTGTGTGTGTGTGTGTGTGTGTGTGTGTGTGCATATTGCCACACTGAGCCATCTTGCTGGCCATTCAGTAACTCAAAATACATTCCTGGAAATCTATTTGCTCACTCTCTCCAATTGAATCCTTGCATTGTAGTCCATTGCTAACGTACAGAAGAGACTCTACCATCTGTGTTGATGAGTCTGATCACCCTTCCTCTCAGAACTCTTTTTTTCAAGACAGGTTTCCCTGTAGCATTGGAGCCTGCCCTGGAACTTGCTCTGTAGACCAGGCTGGGAATTAGAGGCCATCCTGGTCTACTTAGAGAGTTCTGGGACAGCCAGAACTGCATAATGAGACCCCCATCTCAAAAAACATGTGTGTGTGTGTGTGTGTGTGTGTGTGTGTCACAGAAATCTGACTGCCTCTGCCTCCCAAGTGCTGGGATTAAATGTGTTTGCCAACATTGACCACTTGGATGATGGGGGATGTCATTCTGTATATGTTTTTCATACTGGGTAATAATAAAGCACTGTTGGCCAATAGGAAAGAACTTTTTAGAACAGTAACAATGATTGGGGAAAAAAACAAAACAAACCCTGTATCTCCATCTGTTCTTTCCTCTCCTGAACATTGAAATGTTGTAGAATACAGGCACAGTGGTATATGCCCATACTTCCAGCATTCACGAGGCTGAAGATGGGAGAATTTATTGAGCTCAAGAGATTGCTACCAGCTACAACACAGTGAGACCCCTCAAAGGAGAAAGAGAGGAAAGGGAAAACAGAAACAGAATGAGAACAAAGAACACTGTAAGTAAATGGAAAAAATCAAGGAAATTGAAGTAACATATAGGATTTATTGACTAGTAGTAAGTAATTAGGAACAATGATAATAAAATATTCAGTTTGATCTAGAAATAAACAGGGGGATGTTGGTGATTTGTATTAGAAAGTGTGTCTCATCTGATAAGAAGCCATAACAAAAACAAAAGCCTGAGGAAAGGAGACCAAATTCCTCCATGCAAACGCAAAATAAAGTGATATGGACTACTGGGCTTGGTATTCTAGTCAAGGCTAAGCATCAGCCCTTCCCAACAAAGACACAAGGATAGATTTGAACGAATCCTACAATAAAAGAAAACAAAAACCGCAAAACACAGATGGTAACTTCAGTGAAGCTTTTAATATAATGAATGACAAAAACACATGAGTGTGTCATAAGAACTACAAGGAGCTGAGTCCAATCTAGCCTAGGATAATCAGGATAAATTTCCTAGAGTGTAAATTTCTAGAAATTAAACCCAAAAAGGAAGATAAAAGAAAGGTGGAGGAAGCCGTGTTAGCAGAGGGTGCAAAGGTCAGAACTGGCACTTAAGATTGGAACTATCAGGATTATTTGTATTCTAACATAAAGATGGAAACAAAAAGAGGCTAGAGAAACCCCTCATCCAAATCTTCCCACTCTCTCCCTAGCCCAAGCCAGGGGAGGGGCTGCTGAGGCATCAGGAGCTGTCCCTGGTTCTGACACCCAGGCTGGAGATAAAAAGACTCAGAACAAAAACCATGGCTTCTGCAGAGAACCTGCCTGCAAACCCTGCACTGAGTCTGGCTGAAGAATCTAAAAGCATTGGACAGGCCACTTTTGAACAGAATGGTTAAATTCAGGAACATCACATTTTTCTGAGAATAACTCTGAACTTTTGGGTCATTCCTCACATTTCTGACTTCTCAGCAAAAGCTGACTGCCTCTGCCTCCTGAGTGCTAAGATTAAAGGCATGTGCTATGACTACCCAGCAAAATGGTCTGCTTGCTTATCCAAGTCAAAACCACCTGCCCAGGGATGGCACAGCCTCACCCATAAAATGGGCTTCCCCACAACAATCTTTAGTGAAGACAATGTTTTATCAATTTGCTTACAAGCCAATCTTCACAGAGGCATTTTCTCAGTTAAAATCCCCTCTTCTTAGATATGTCTAGGTTTGTTGACAAAAACCAACCAGCACAAGGCAGATAAAAAGGAACATGGGGGCGAAAATACATGATATGCATGTATGGCAATGTCATTATGGGACCTGGAGAGATAAGTGAGTGGTTAAGAGCACTTATTGTTCTTGCAGAGGACCTAGGTTCCATTCACAACAAACACCCACACGGCAGCTCACAACCACCCTTAGCTCCAGTTCCAGGGGATCCAACACCCTCTTCTGACCTCTGAGGATACTAAGCACACATAGTACACAGACACACATGCAGACAAAACACACACATAAAATAAATACATGAAAATTTC